TAAATAAAACAAATTTTTATAGACTCAGAGAGATACAAGAGTCAAGTGACATTTGTAAACTGAGATATTTATATAGTTGAGTCACAGGCACACCACAATTTTGAGCGTATGACTCAGACTTTGTATCTTATATACAGTTAGTTTAAAAATGTTAGGGCATTATGCCAAGGGTAAGCACAAAGTTTACATAACTGAGGATTTATAGGGACCTCAGGCTTGCTCAATTATTTTGGGGATTTTTACTACACAGTTTAAATTACTTTCTTTGACCAGGCTTATCAGGTTTGGATAGACACATTTGTACTCTAGCTTCCTACTATACTTAGAATAAACCCAAACTCCTATTATGACTTGCAAAGTTCCTTATGAACTGGTCCCTGCCTATCTTTTTAGCTTCATTCATCTTTCACTACTCTCCCATTATTCACGCACTTCATTCATGTTGGCCTTCTTTCAATTCTTGGAACGCACCAACATTTTCCTCCTACCCCCAACTCCTATCTACTTGTTTATGTTTGTTCTCTCAGTGGAATGCATACTCTGTAAGGGCAGAGGTCACTTCCAGAATATCCACCATTGTATCTCTACAAGGCTAGTACATCTGGCACCAAGTAGCTATTCGATAAATATTTGTTAAATAGATGAATCAAGGAGATAAGTAAGATTGGTTGTATGGCACGATCCAGAATTGAGGCTGAATTTATGGAACGGAGCTCACAGAAGAAAATATGAAGATAAATTCATAGTGTAAGCATGGCGGGGAGAATGTAGTAGAAATAAATTTTGGACCACAATTTCAGAAATGCAAAGAATAATAAATACATTTATATTTATAAATATAAATCCACCTAGCTTCAATTCTGAGCATTCCACCTTCCCCAGGTCGATGAAAAACTTAACCTCAGTTATTCTTACGCTTGAGTTTCCCTCTTTTGCTTTAAGATGGGAAAGAGTTCAAGGGCCAAAAGCCCTTATGCAGGGCCAAAACAAGGACCTCTGGCTGTTGAGTCTTTTGTCTACTCTGGGGTGTTCACTGACTCTATTCACACAGTTCCTTCAGGTCTGGGCTCCCTGTTGCTTCCAGATTTCTTTTAAAACACAGGAAATCTTTATGAGGGTGCTCATGGGCCCATCTGTCCAGACACATGAAGTAGTCTTTAGTCTCTGGAATTTTGTACATCTGCTGTGTGCTGTGATGCTACCAGAAATATGGAATCTCAGCTCCCCAAATATAGGATCCATAGACTTTTATCTATGCTCACCAGTCCATGGGACTACTTCTCAAAGGCACTCTTAAGCTCCCTTTATTTTCAGGGCACTTAGCAGGATCTTTTGAAATGGATTGAGGTTTTACCCAAGTCAGGAAGCATATATGACTTTTTTCCCTAAACATTCCCTTTCCAATTACAAAGTCTGCTATCTTTTTGAAAATTTTAAAAACAGAAGAAATTGGATAAATGAACACAACTTAATATTTCATGAACTTATTCTGCCAATAGGAATTAAGTTTTGACCAGAACAGAGGCAGGAAGTACAATTTTCTGATCATGTCACTCTACTGCTTAACATACTATAATTGCTTTCTATTACTCTTAGGATAAAGATCACATGCCTTAACGTGGCCCACACAAATCCTATCTGCCTCTTCAGCCTCTTCATGCACCACAGTCCTACCACAGTCCCTCTTATTTTCTCTACTAGGGGCACACTAGTGTTTCATTGTTGAAAATGACTGCTCTCTTTCAACATAGTTTTTTTTTTTTTTTTTGGTACATTCACAGGTTAACTCCCACTCGTATTATAAAATTTCATCTCTCCTGAAATTTTTGCTGAACATCCTTTCCTACTGCCACCTATTATAAACACTCATAGTAACATATACCATTTCTTTAGTGTACTTGCCCATGATGGTCACTTTGTCTTATGAGAAGAGAAATGAAAGGGATAACTACAGTGAAATGCCATTTTTACTTGTCAGATTAACAAAAACCCCAAGTTCGAGGATTCTTCAAACATTCTGTTGAACAAATGGGTACTCTTACATACTGCTAGTGGGATTGTGAAGCTAGGACAATCTCCATGAAGGATAGTTGGCAATATCTATCAAAATAATGAAATATATATATACCTTTTGACCCAGACAGTCCACTTCTGGAAATTGATCCTACAGATATATTTGCACAGTATAAAATGACATATTTATAACTTTATTTATTACAACTTATTTTTATTAGAAAAATACTTGAAAAAATTAAATATTCATCAATAGGTGGCTGGCCAAATACATTGTTATATATCCAACCTGAGGAAGCTTCCTAAATACTGAGATGGGAAGATTTTCCACTTTTATTAAGTACAAAAAAGCAATGTACAGAACAATACATATGGCATATTACCTGTTAAAAAAGGGAAAAAGTAACAAATGTACATATATACATATACATATGTAATCACTTTGCCTGTGTATGCACGAGAAAACCCTGGAAAGATACACAAGAAACTAATAAAAATCATTATCAATATTTTGGGGAAGTAATGAGAACTGTGAGAATAGGGAATGGGATAGGATGTAAGAATGCAAAGTAATAACAGTATTTAATGATGTTTCCTTCTATTAATTATATAATACATAATTATGAATGAGGCACAATTTTAAAATTAATTATTGAAATGTAAAATTCATTAAGCAAAAGTTATTTTCTATTATTTATCTCTCTATGGATAAAGGATATAATGGAAGTTGCTTAAGTAAAGTTAGGTGGTTAATTATTACCTTAAAGGCTACCTGGTTTCATGATATTTACTGTAATAGATTCTCTGTTTTCTTTTCTTATATTCTATCCTCAAACCACACTAGACAAGTATTAAGCACTGTTTCTTTTTGAAGAATTGCAGGTGCTAATATTTACTTTCAAAGCACATTTTTTTAAAGCCAATTTTTAGGAATAGATGCAAGAATCTTTTGTTTTGCAAATTTAAAAACTCAGGAGATGTGTTTCCAATTTAAAATAAAGTTAATTCAATCTAGAAACAACAAAAGAAAGGCAATTCTTCAAAGTATTTTTCTACTTATTCTATCACTATATGTACATTAAAACAAGAGCAATAAATGGTTGTCAATGTATAACTTAAAAAAAAAATCACAGAGGATTAACCCATCTAGCGATACCTAAAGTTATTCTTAATTCCTGGAGAATCCTTGTTGAAGTGTAAGCATAATAAGTGCATAGTGAAGTCTAAGTGAGGTTCCCTATTACGGCTGTGGTATTAATACACACTAGTGAAACAGGTTGTGGGCCTAGCTTGAATTAATTATTCTCCGATGAGGAAATTGATAATGAAAGAATTTAAACCATTGATATAGTTCCCTTATTGGGATTAATATGTTAATTAATATTACTGGGATCATATTTCCGAATCAAGAATATAATAGCCTCTAATTCACTTAAAGTACATAGATCACAATTTTATCCTTTGTTTTCAATTTTAAAGTTAATCTTTCACAGCAGATTTCAAGGAGGCATTAAGTACTCTTTACCAACAAACTATTTATTTCTTTTATTTAAGTCTTAAGAATTTAGTTAGCAAATATTGACATCTAATCTAATGATTTCTTGATTTAATATCTGTGGGGTCAGTGTGGAACAGATGTAGTAGTGTAGTGTTTCTGAATGTGTAGTAGTTTCTGAATCTCTTTACATTGGGAACTGACTATTAATAACTTTCATTTCTTTGGAAGAAGTATCCAAGTCCTAGAAATTCTGACCCCACTCACTACTGTTACTTCTCAAACGAATGGGATTTTATTTAATACACATTAGCACCATATTTTCTTTCCTTCTCTTCTTCCTTTTAGAGAATTATATGATAGAATGTTTGAGCCATCTAGCTTTCAACAGATGCAATCATAGAAGAATCTACTCTCCTCTGCCTTAATAAACTTAGAAACATCAATATTTGATGCATAAAGAGTAACTGTATACATTTAAACTATTCTGTGCTCTTAATTGTGTTTCCTAAAAGCATAGACACAAAGAGAAATCACATAAACTATAATCCAATTGAATGGACTTTATTTGCTTTTCCTATTTGGTCTACATGCACCACCTGGTGGTAAAGTGGTGCATTTCAAGTGCAGAAGAAAGTGTGTGTGTGTGTGTGTGTTCTGAGAGGTATATAACATGGGAAAGAGAATTTTAATATGTGTTCCTAATTACTGCTTTAGGTTGATGACACAATTATTCTGCACAAAATACTAATAAAATACTTAAGCACTACTATATACATAAACTAGAACCAGGAAGTAAAGGAGAAAAGAACTCATGTTGCAAAGTAAAATAGCTTCCTCTTTCTTATATACCTTAGCTATAGATCTTAAAATTCCACCTCCAAATTAACATTTGTTTATTGTGCTAATGTCTTTATTGAGGCAAAAGTCAAGCATTGATAATCATTGTGAAATCATTTTCTTAATTTTTAATTTTTAAGAATAACAATTTTTAAAAGTATGTGGTCTATTCCTTATATTAGGAGTCAGTATAAGTCATGGGTCACAGAATTTTAAAACTACAAGGTGCCACAGAGTCATTTAAACTAATACACTAATTTTATAAATGTAGCACCTGAGACTTGGGAATATCATGTGACTTGCCCCAAATCATACTGTTCATTAGCAGTTCAATTCCAAGTCAAATAAGAACCTAGGTTTTTCTCACTTTCAGCCTAGGACATAAAATAGGACATAAAAATTATACTCATATTGAATGGTGAATTATCTCTACCCATAACTCATCTATACAGTGCTTGAAGACACTAAAATGTGAGTTAATACATATTAGTAGTTTTGTTCTGATATTCTGAACTCTTAGGAATAAAGAAATGTATGTATCATAAAGCCATGGAAAGGATTTTCTATTAAAAAAATCAAATCCCTTATATATACATGTTCAAATGAATATTTTTCAAAGTATATACAACTGTTATATTGTAAAAAAAGTCTAAAAAATTCCCTTTCCCCTTCTGACTACTTAAGAATCAGAGTTCTGTTTCTACAAAATAGGTACCCACTTGAAGATTTAAGCATAAACCATGTTCATAGCTCCCTCTCATGACCATTGAATACTATACAAGCCTCCTTTTATTCTCGCTGTTGTATTCAACTAACAGCTCACTGGTTAAGTTTTAATTGCTTCCAATGAGGTCAGCAAAGGTATTTATCGAAAAGCCCTGAATAAAAGGCTCTACACACACACACACAAGCACACACGCTCTCACACACACACAGAAAATCCTCTTGCCTGTTGATTTATGGAAACAATTATGATTCTGCTGGAGAATTTTTCAGCTGAGAAATAGTTTGTAGCTACAGTAGAGAGGCTCAAGTTGCACAAGGCAGACAACAGACATGGAATTCTTATACATCCAGCTGTTATCAACAGAACAAGTAAGTTACTGTTATTTGTTTTTAAAAACAATGCTGAATGTTTTCTAAAAGTTTATCTCTTTCTCTGGTTTTAGTACTGAGGGTAAAAGTAAAGCTACCAGATTTTTGAGTCATGTAAGTATTTATAGCAATTATGCTGTAGAAAATAAAGTTGAAATTTTTCCAGAGCAATTTTGACATTTAACTTGAAAAACATGGGAGGTTTAGGAGAAAATAACTTATTAATCACAAATGTAGAAGCATATAGTAAAGAAATCTAGGGAAAGCATTTACATCATGTTAATAGTAATTGTAAAACTCAATTTAAGTCAATAGTTCTAAGTGTAGGATGTTTCTCAAAAAATAGTAACTGGAATGAACGGCACAGTCACATTCTGGTTTGTCTCTGCTAATGCATAGCTTTTATAAATCTACACATAGAGTGGTAAAGATGTTGTTATCCTCTGTGAAAGCTGTTTTAAATGTATTTTCAAAGTATAAAATACACTGTATGTTATACTATTTACCCACGGAAATTTATACATGCAATTTTTTTATGCTCCTCTCTCTTCCTCTCCCTATTCCTAATCTCTCATTGCAAACAGAAGTCAAGTAGCAAACAGCATCTCAGCAACAACTGAGCTTATTACAACCTGTTTTTATAAGGATATATCAACAGAAAGTTATTTAAGGAGGAATCCTGTATTGCTATCAGGAGCTAAAAGGACAAAGCTAACAATTTGGAAAGAACAACTACTCTTTCTTAAATCAATCTACAGTTCACACATAGGAAGAGGTCAATGACCTAGGAGTAACAATCACCTCAAGATTTAATTTTCATTATGTTATTCATGAACACCCGGAGCACTACACTATAATGCACAAATGGATACTGACATGGATCCTGCCAACTTTGCTCTACAGATCATGCTTTCACATTATCTGTCTAGTGGGTACTATATCTTTAGCTTGCAATGACATGACTCCAGAGCAAATGGCTACAAATGTGAACTGTTCCAGCCCTGAGCGACATACAAGAAGTTATGATTACATGGAAGGAGGGGATATAAGAGTGAGAAGACTCTTCTGTCGAACACAGTGGTATCTGAGGATTGATAAACGAGGCAAAGTAAAAGGAACCCAAGAGATGAAGAACATTTACAGTAAGTAATGTCTTTTATTTAAAGCACAGCTTATAAACCTTAATAATCTGTTAAAAGGTCAATTTTCAAGTGACATGCTTTCTCGGTTGCCTTTTATTTTTTTGGAAAAAAATTAAATGAAATGTCATCTTATAATTTCTCTAAATAGGTATAGTTGAACTATGTGTCTAACAACATCTCCTGGAACAGAGAAATCTACTTATATTACAGTTGGAACTGATAACTCAAGCCAAATAGAAAATATGTACTCCATATGCTCAAAATGCTCATATGATAAGCAAAATTTAAATGATATTATTAACACCGAAATGTGATTTATTATCTAGAAAAACTCATTAGGAACTCTAATATAGTGCTTAGTAAGTGCTCACGAAAAACTACTTATCGTTTGAGGAATTGAGAATCTATTTATTTTTATCAATTTGATTTCCTTTGAAAGAATATTTCTGTGATGCAAAATACTTAATCTGTGCTAAAAAAATACATTCCTGTGCAATTGTGTATATTTACAAAACAGAAGGGAATCTGTGGTATCCTCATCTGGTCATGTCATAATGAGTTTGTATATTAGATTGGTTTATTATCAACCTAGGCAGAAAAATAGATTCCTCCTAACATTTTCTTATCTAAATCTATGTCATAAATGTTCTATGTTGCCTTAAGAAAAATGTAAATGTGGGGAAATAAAAGTGAGTTGGAAGAGATCTTAATTCCATGATTTTCAGTTTAAAATCTTTATATTTTTCCCCAAATCAGTTATTCTTTTCATGTTGAAGTATCAGAGGTATATTTTTCATTTAACAGTTATGATTAATAACCAGTTTTAATAGTAGTAAATTTAATGGGGTAAATTATACACCTTAAATTAAAAAAATTTTTTGTATTAATAGCATTTGGACAATATTAATGTTACATCATTTTAAAATACATGTGTTAAAGCCAACTGGAGAAGAACGCATGGGGAGGACGGTGTAAACATGTGCCTATTACAGTGCCAAGCTGTCAGCAATTACTTAGATTTTTTATTGCCTGTTTACTAAGTAACTTTTTGTCTTTTAAACTAATCAACCAATAAATAGGAATTTGGGGTAATTATGTTTCCAATATGAAAGTGAGAGGATCTTCTTTTTAATCATAATTAATACAGAATGTTAAAGTCATTTTAATGAATTGACAGTTATGGTTTTATTATTATTACTGTTATTAATAAAGGTATCCTGTTAGTCCTAGAAAATTGTTCTGATTATACTAAAGTTTAGCTAAGGAAATGACTATTTGGAGGAAGTTTTGTGGATATCCACTTCTATGTGAGCAACAGAATTTGGCTTATAATCAACTTACTTAAAAGATACTGAGATTTATTATGGATAATAGAACCTGGTAGAGATGACAGAGCCAACGTAGAAGTTATGACACACGGGTCTAATCCCTGTGAATGACTTTGGGACAATTTTTTTAGTTTTTCCAATTCTCAATTTTTTCATCTAAAAAACATGAAATATTTACATATGATTTCTAAGATACCTTCAAGTTCTTATAATCTATTCTATTTTAAACCACAGAATATATTATATCAATATAAAGAAACCTAAGTACATACTATATAATTATCTCACACGAGTGAATATTATCTCAATGGTAAGATGAGCTGTCAGAACTAATTTAAAATTACAGTAATAAGGTTACCAAACCTAAATACTAAGGAATTCTTCTATGTGTGTTGACTAGTTCCTTTAGAATGCTTTTACCAAATAATAAAAAAGTGAAAAATTATATGTAAAATTCGGTGAAAATGAGTAGTATGCATAATTATTTAGGATCAAAAATATCTACAATTGGAATGCATTCACATATGTAAATTTTATTTTGTTTGTGTTAAAATTTCTTCAAAGGATGAAATTCAGGTATTTATGCAGATACACAAAATGCTACAATTATTTGATAGTTTGAAACATAATTTAGTTTAATCTTAATTTAGTTTAATCTTAATTTAGTTAATCTTAATTTAGTTTAATCTTGATTAACCATAAAGCCAATTTGGTAAACCATTTCTCCTCTAACACTAATTCTACAGTAAAAAAGAAAGAAAAATAATCCTATATCATTTTAAATTAGATTATCATAACACCAATGTACTAAAAAGACATGCTGTACATTTTGTAAATATTCTTCAGTTCTATAAGCTTTTTCATAGGTTGTATATATGGTATACTTTCTTGATATGGTAAATTCTCTTAGAAAGGGAAACTTTCATCAAAATCCTTTAAGTAAATCCTGAAATTATTGTCAAGTTGTATGGCTATCCTATTGAAGAAGGAGCCAGCAAGATTTATGCAAAGTTAAAAAGAGGGTAAGGCCATTTTATCTATAGGAAATCCTAAGGTACAGACAGAAATACTCCAGTGAAGAATTATGGAAAATAACATATTTAAAGAAAATTCTGATAGCCATGTCCTATTATTTGAGGGTTAGCCTTACTAATTTTAAGAGTGAATGTCCATACATAAATGAGCTAATTGACATGTTGAAGCTACTATATTAGGAAAGCCAGGTACAAAAAAATGCTCAGTAGAACTTGTTTAAAATATTCAAAGAGGATGAGAAACTTGAAATTATAAAATTTAAAGATTGTTTACATTTCTCAATTATCAATTGAATGAAAAAATGGAAAAAAGACATTTCCTTCCTATTTTAACTAATGTGAGTAAAAGACAATTGGATTTTCCACCAGATTGAAATGCAGCAGAGTTCAGAAAGTAGTAAAGATCAGAATCAAACTCTGAATTTCATTTTCAATGTTTTGATACCTTAATTTTTTTATCAGGCTATTAATTGACCTTCTCTGGAGGTCTTTTAAGATAGTATAAATTTGAATGTCTTAGAAGATAAAGTAAGATGCTAGTGAGACATAATGTTCTCTCAGTTACCATTACACAGTTCCCCAGTCCATTCTCATGGCTTTTCTTTGAATGAAAGGAAAAATGATCCAAGGATGTTAATGGGCCTCAGAGGACTGCTTACTTCATCAGCAGAAGCACAGCACCCAAACAAGAATGTGGTTTTTAAGATATTGGTAAACATGGATTGGAGCTAATAGGAGAGGTGAAAAATCTGGGTGTATAATTCTGCTTTCAGAAGATGTTGGGCTGAGGTAGATAGACGGAGAGCATGGAGGAAGAAAAGAGGAGAACTGAGGAGGTGGATGTGACTGTAATGTCTCATATCTTTAGGGAATTTTTAAAAATTACTTAAGATACTTTAGATTGTGAAGTTCTCACTTCAGTCTTAATTACTGTGTTGTCTCATTCTAAGTTGAGATTAGCATGAATACACTGTAGAAAGAGTGTACTGAGAAACCCAATAAAAATAAGATTTGTATCAGTAGACATATAAGCAAGAACTAACTATGTAGGTGGGGGAATTCATGAGAGGCCCAGAGAAGCTGGACCACATTTTTTACTCTTGAGGGGACAGAGCTGTTATTAGAGAACTGGTCCTAGGGATTGCACACTGCTCTTACCAAAGAGGCAGAAAGTGTCTGTTCTTTACTTGTTCTCTCTGGTGGCTCCAAATTTAGCCTTACAGTAAGTTTATAAGTGATGAAACTGATACCTGATTGAACTAATAATAAGAATAAGGAAAGCATAAAATGTCCCTTCAAAATGCACATTCAAAATGAACTGTAGATTCATATTCTCTGTAGAAGGAGAGCATTGAAAACACCATACAGGGACTGGAAATGAATGGTCAATACTTTCACTTCTGCTGTCAGAGCTCTCCCCTTGAGGACAAGGCTAGCTGGTGAATTTAGATGACTGTTGGACCAAGCAGCCCATCAGCAGCCAGAAGCAATCACTCCACACCTGACAGAAATAACACTGTTGTTTAAGCTGGGAATTGAGGTGCTGAGTGAGAGACAGCAGCAGTGCACTGGGCACTTGATGACTGCCCTGAGAGACAGATGTGGAACAGAGAACCCAATCCCTCAAGATGATTTTCTTGCTTTTGGTATCCAGTTACTAAAAAGTGGTGCTTGTCCCAACAAGAGTCAATATCATTCATTCCTTTTAAGAAGAAATACTTAATTGTCATAAACCACTGATCCAAGAGAAAGTATGCCTCACTTGGTTATAATTGAGCATTGTTAGTTCCCATAGCAAGAAAAGGGTTAGCCATCCTGAAAACTGGCCAACGATTTGGCAATATTCTCTTTTGGATTGTTACACTGTGATGGGATATGGCCTAACAATTGGCAAAAAGCAAATCAACACAGTGTTGCTGGATTTGACTTTGGCCACAAAACCTTCAGTGACTCAATTGTCAACAATTCTTTGGATATGCTCCTATTCAACAATAATCTCTGCTAGTAGCTAGCAAATATGCATATCACCTCTGGATATGGAGGTGGTAAATTTGTTTATGTTCTCAGCAAGTTATCTAAAAGAATAATAATTCACATTATCAAAATAAAATATAACAATATAAGGATAACCCCTGCCTTTAAAAAATAGACAATAAGGAACATATGTATGGATTTCAACCAAAATCCTAGAAATTATTGACAAGGTAGAATCCTATAGAACTGGTAACATACATTCCCTTTAGTAATTTGTCAAGGCTTTAAATCATGGAGGATAGATAAATTGCTGGGGAGCAGATTTTGAAATATTAGCTATTCTTTAAAAACTTTAATATTAAGGATTATTTTTCATTTTATAATCTTCCTTTTATTTGGCTATCACATGTGCTTGGCACTTATTAAGTACTAACAAGTTCATTCATTGCAACTGGTGTATCTCTTATCATCTCTCTTTTCTTTTGTAAAGCCTTATCTAAACCGACTAGTTCTATATCACTTTCATGTCTATATCAATCTGAAGCATCTGATCGTATATTTTCTTTTGTGACTCATCTGTATGACAACCCTTCAGCCTATAGTTTTAGAGCATGTAGAGGCACAAGTGAATTGGAAAAAATGCAAGTCAGCTTTTAGGAGTTGT